AACTATAGTGAATGAATAAAATGTGTTTTGCTTTAAATCCAGTACTTAACCAATTAAATTACATTTGGAATGCAACACCTTACATTTACCTTTAAAATAGGAAAAAAAGTTAGGGTCTAGACTATCTTCTAAATACAGGTAGTTTTCCTATATCACAATTGCAGCGGAGAAGAGCATTACCAACAGCATCTGTTCTGCAACCCCATATGTGAAACAACCTTTTGCTGTGGAAGTAGCAGCCACAGGAACCTCATTGTGCTATCACAAGAAATTACCAGAGGAAACTTAGTCCTGTAGTGTACATTTCCTGGCTTCTTATACTGGTGAACCAGGGATTTTCAGTGTATGAAAGGCATAACCCAGCAGTCTTTTCTTTTATACTCCAAAATGCTATTACACACAGCTGAGTGACCTTCCCACCACCAAAATCACCATGGCTTTTTTTAAAAAGCACAATGCAAACTATCAAAGGTGAGTGGGAAGTAGGGAGAGAGGAAAGGAACTAAAACAAAATGGAGTTGGAGGGGGGAAATACAACGCTGTATTCCCCCATAGTGACTACCTCTCTCTAAAGGCATCGATAGCCTGCCAGTATTTTGAGTGGTACAATACTTTACTTGTATAATCAGCTTCAATCTGCTCATTATTTTTACTAAACACACCCCTGTCCAATTGCTATTTGGAGGGCCCTATCAAAGATGAGGAGATCAGTCAAAACCGGATGGCATGATGGACCCTGATGTTATAGGGATGGGACATGGTGGTGAAGTGTATTGAAGTCAGGAGGAACACCAAAGAGACCCAGTGAGTTTTAAAATCTTTGTAGATGGGTCTTCATTGTAAAGTACAGAGGTGGAAAACAGGGTGCAGCATTTAAGTAGAACACCAGCAAGGGAAGCCCATGATAGAACTAGCATTAAAACTCCCAAGTAACAGGCGTGCACAGGCTGCAGAACTGGCAACCATGGTCTGTGTAGTAAGCCCACCCTAACAATTCCCCACTTCAGCAGACATATATTCAAATAGCATGTATGTGTATAACATTCTGACTAATTTTCTCCCATTGTAGGAAAGGGGAGGATTTGTGTCAGCTGACAAAAACCATTACCATCCACCCAGATACTGAAATATATTTTACAAGACATAGAGATAGAGAATATGCAGTCATTAAGGTGTTGGCATTACCACTGTTCCTTCCCCGGTCTGGAACATTAGGGCAAATGAGTTAGCTAAACAGGGAGCCAGGGAAGGGAGATTGTGGCAACTGCAGATACAGATAGAATTGATAAACACAGTCAGGACCAATCAAGTTAGAATCGAGGATGTTTTACAAGCACAGGGCAATGATGAAGAGCTGAAGCAAATAAGGGGTGGAGCGTATCCAGAAATGCACCAAGTATGAAAGGATAAGATCCAGATTATGGATGGATGGGGTCCTGGAGGAATGGAAGTAACATAGTACTATTAGGGGACCGAAATCAAATAACATACCAGTTTCACAATATACATCAAGGATAGGAGGTGACAACCGGATGGATTTAATGGATATAAAATGTTACGTATAAAACTGCATAGTCTGTGCCCAGAACAATCCAGATAGGCACACAAATAAAGGGTTACTGAGACACATCCAGCCTGCAGAGGGCGCTTTGACTAATCTACAATTAGACTATATATGGCCCTTGCCACCATCAGAGGGGGATACAAGTACATCTTGGTTATTGCAGACATATCCACAAAGTGGTTGGAAGCTTTTCTAACTCAAAATAACTCGGCCAAAATGAGAGGTAATCCAGCATGTACTTATGTGCTGGGGACTACTGAAAAGTATAGACAAGAGTACACATTTTACTGCAGAATGTAATGTTGCCGTTCATGATAATTCAGAAGTTCCATATAGTTTATCAGCCCCAATCTAGTGGGATAGTGGAGTGAAAGAATAGAACCCATATGGCGATGATCAGGAAAATGGTACAGCAAAAGAACAGAACCTGGGATGTAGTTTTATCATTTACCCTAATGATAATACAGAACACCATTTCAGGTTTCACAGGATTTACCCCCACCTATGACAGGAGGTCTGATGCTGGGAACTGAAGGTCCTTTGGTTTGGACCTCACCAGGGGAGCACTGGCCCTTACATGAAAAACAAACTGTGCAGATGATCTCAGAAAGAATCCACAGAACCGCAGTAGCTAAGATCAGGGAAAGGAAAATCCAGAGTAAGGCCTACTTTGATGGAAAGGTGAAATCAACAGAATATGAAATCGGGCAAGGAGAGATGTTACAATATTTCCAGACTGAGACCTCCCTGTCCCGAACGTACACAAGATAAAGCCAGTTTCAGAAAATCCTGTTAGAAATGGGGAATAAAAAAAAAACAAAAACAAACAAAACAAAATCGGGTGGGGCATAGAATAATTGCCACCAATGCTATGTATCAACAGACATGCCAGAAGATGAGGAACCTGTTCAAGCTCTGGCCCTGACTAAACATGATGAGAAACTTTGCCACATACTTTCAGGGGAATAAACCCCACCAGAAGGGAAGTTTGAGGAAAGGGAGAAAGTAGGTTAGAAACAAACTGTCCCAGTAGGAAAAGGGAGACACTAGTCAGTTGAGAAGAAGCTCCTCAACCAAATTTAAATTTGTTCAATAAGTAACACAGAGCAGATGTGTAAACTGTAAATAAAAGGAGAAATTACCTTAAAATTATCTTCATTGTAGATTTTGAATAATAGGCGAGATGATCATTTAGATCTCAAGAATGGAGTATGGTGGTAGAGGTACAATGGACAAGAGCAAACAGTCAAGGTCCAGCTACAATCAAGTGTAGAGGACATAGGCTTAAGGTGAAAGGGGCAAAATTTAAAAGGGGCCCGAGGGGCAACTTTTTCCACACAGGTTGGTGCATATGCAGAACAAGTTGTTAGAGAAAGTGATAGAGGCGGATACAATTACAACATTTAAAAGACATTTAGACAGATACATGGATTGGAAAGGTTTAGAGAGATATTGGCCAACCACAGGCAAATGGGACTAGTTCAGTTTAGGAAACCTGGTTGGTATGGACAAGTTGGGCCAAAGGAACTGTTTCTGTGCTGAATGATTCTAAGTGAAAGACAGAGCTAAGCGATCACATGCAAGTTCCCCTCCAAGACACTCACCACCCTGACTTGGAAACAGATCGCCATTCCTTCACTGTTACTGTATCAAAAACCTGGAATTTACTCCCTAACAGTATTGTGGGTCAACCTAAAGCATGCAGATTGCAGTGGTTCAAGAAGGCAACTCACCACCATCTTCTAACTGGCATCTAGGGACGGCCAATAAAAGTGAATATAAAAAGTTTTCTATTAGTTAGCCAATTCTCTATCCTTGCTAATATACTATCTACAATACCACATGCTTCCCCTTTATCAGAGTGATGGTGGAGAGTTGTTTTTCAGACTGGAGGCATGCGATCAGTGCTGCATTCACTTTTGTTTGTCATTTACATAAGTGATTTAAGATGATAATACAGAAGATGTAGTAAGTTAGTTTTTGGATGACGCCAAAATTGATGGTTATAGTGGACAGTCAGGGTTATAGAAACATAGAAAATAGGAACAGGAGGAAGCCATTCAGCCCTTCGAGCCTGCTCTGCCATTCGGGATGATCATGGCCGATTGTCCAAATCAATAGCCTGATCCTGCTTTCTCCCCATAACCTTTGATCTCATTTGCACCATGGGCTATGTCTAGCCGCCTGTTGAATACATTCAATGTTTTGCCATCAACTACTTCCTGTGGTAATGAATTCCACAGGCTCATGACTCTTCGGGTGAAGAAATGTCTCCTCATCTCTGTTCTAAACGGTCTACACTGAATCCTCATACTGTGACCCCTCGTTAAGAGATCTTGATCAGTTGGATCAATGGGCTGATATTGCATATGGATTTTAATTTGGATAATTGTGAGGTATTGAGTTTGGTAAAACAAATAAGGACAAGACTTATACAGTTAAAAGTAGGGCCTTGAGGAATATTATAGTATAGACAGTCCTAGAAGTTCAGGTACAAATTTCTTTGAAGTTTGCTTCACATACAGATAGGGTGGTTAAGAAGGCAATTAGCATGTTTCCCTTCATTGCGCAGACCTTTGAGTATAGGACTGGGATGTTATGGTGAGGTTGTACAGGAAGGCACTTGTGCTTGTGGCATGAATGTATTTGCAAGCTATCTACCCAAACTTGCCTATTGTCCTGGTCTTGCTACATATAGGCAGGAACTACTCAATAGGAATGCTGAACATCGTGCAATGATCAGTGAGCATTCCTGTGTTGGATCTCTACTGCCCAGACAGGATACATGGGAACACTTGTAAGTTCCCCTCGCCACGAAGCATCCTGACGTGGAACTGTACTACTATTCATTCAGTGCTGCTGGGTGAAAATCCTAGAACTAACTCCCTAAAAACATTAAATAAAGAACTGTGGACGCTGGAGTTCTGAAACATAAAAGAAATTGCTAACGAAACTCAGCAGGGTCTGGCGGCATCTGCGGGTAGACAGCAGAGTTCAGTTTTCGAGTCCTCAGAACGACATTGTGGGTCTACATACAGAACACTGACTGCAGCAGTTCAAGAAGGCAAAAGCAATAGGGAATGGACGATAGACGCTGGCCCGAGTCAGCGACGCTCGCATTAGGTCAACAAATAAAAAAAATACGACCAGACTGCTACATCACTTCCGATCTCCAACTTCAGTGACTTCCGGAGCCAAGAAGGCTGCGCGTGCGCACTGCCCTGTATTGTCTTTGTTTCTATGCTGTATGACTCGATAATACGAAACAGACTGCCTAATTTACGACCTGCCCTTTTAGACGCATTCTTTGACAATTTTGATCAAATTCAGTTCAGCAAATGCTTCAGCCTTGCCCTTTGCACGAATGTGCTAGGCGGCCGTTAACCACGGTTTTCACAGAAAATGGGCCACATTTCGAACAGAAGCGCACCAGTACCTTATTAGCATCAGAGGAGCAGGAAAGCTGTCGTTTCTGATCGAGAGATAGTAGGAACTGCAGATGCTGGAGAATCTGAGATAACAAGGTGTAGAGCTGGATGAACACAGCAGGCCAAGCAGCATCAGAGAAGCAGGAAGGCTGACATTTCGGGCCTAGAACCTTCTTCAGAAATGGGGGAGGGGGAAGGGAGCTCTGAAATAAATAGAGGGGAGGGGGTGGGGCTGGAGAATGTAGATGGGATGGTGATAGGTGAGTGCAGGTAGGTAAAGGTGGAGATTGGTCAGTGAGGTGGGAGGAGCGGATAGGTGGGAGAGAAGATGGACAGATTGTGTCAGGTCAAGGAGGTGGGGATGAGGCTGGGGTGGGGAGATTTTGAAACTGGTAAAGTCCACATTGAGAGCACTGGGTTGTGGGCTCCCAAGACAGAACATGAGTGTTGCTCCTCCAGTTTCTGGGTGGTGTCATTGTGACACTGGAGGAGGCCCAGGATGGACATAAACAACAACAACAGGATGGACATGTTGCCCAGGGAGTGGGATGGGGAGTTAAAATGGTTCACGACTGGAAAGTGTTGTCATTCGTTGCGAACAGAGCACAGGTGCTCGACAAAGCGGTCCCCGAGCCTCCGCTTGGTCTCACCGATGCAGAGGAGGCCACATCGGGAGCAGCGGATGCAGTAGACCACATTGGCAGATGTGCAGGTGAACCTCTGATGTGAAAGGTTTTTTTGGTTCCTTGGATGGAGGTGAGAGGGACGTGTAGGGGCAGTGTTTTCCCCGGCCTCATCCCATGACCAACCCTCCCTCTCATCCCCACTTCCTTGACCTGACACAGCCTGACAATCTTCTCTTCCCACCTATCCGGTCCTCCCACCTCACTGACCAATCCCCACCACTGCCTACCTGCACTCACCTATCACCATCGCACCTATCTTCCCCAGCCCCACCCCTCCTCTCTATTTATTTCTGAGCTCCCTTACCCATTTCTGAAAAAGGGTACTGACCCGAAATGTCAGCTTTCCTGCTCCTCTAATGCTGCCTGGCCTGCTGTGCTCCTCCAGCTCCACACTGTGTTATCTCTGACTCCAGCATTGGCAGTTCTTACTATCTCCCAGTATCTCATTATTCCGGATTCAGGATTGAAGCCGGTTGTTCGTGACGTCTCTTGACTCTCACGCCAGCCAGGGGGCAGTGTTGGAGGTCCATCAGTGGGCAGTACTGGCGATCCATCGGTGCACTGGAACGGAGGACTGAGGTGGCGCGGCTGGTCCTCCAGCCAATTGGAGTGAGTGAGGGGTGGAGCTGGATCCGACACACCCTTAGTGCTGAAACTCTGCATATCTGATTTGTGTAGCCTCTGTTGAAGTGCTGTTGTTTTGTCCCACTCTGAATTTATATGGTCTGGTCTGTCATGGTGGGTAGTCTTGTTTCCAGTTTTATACCAGAGTGGTATGTAGATGGGGTCTATTTCGACATGTTTGTTTATCGCACCGGGGGTTGCAAACCATGCCTCCAGGAATTCTTGTGCTTGTCTTTGTCTTGCTTGTCCTAATACTGTAACTTTGTCTCAGTTAAACTGATGTCCTTCTATGTCGGAGTGTATTGAATTGAGGGAGAGTTGGCCCTGCTGTTTTGCTGCAAGTTTGTGTTCATGTAGTATGGTGGAGGGTTTCCTGTCTGTCCTATGTACTGTTTCTTGCAGTTGCTGCATGGTATTTGTATATCACATTTATCCTGCTCATTCTGGGTATGGGGTCTTTTGTCTTTGAGGGTAACTGGCAAAGTGTGGCTGTTGATTTGTGTGTTAGCAGGACAAATGTGATCTACGGCTTAGAGTTGAATCAAATGTCAAATGTTGTTAATTGCAACCTCGAGAAAATGTTGCTGTCAGTGATAGTTTTGGGCAGCCATCTTGTGCTACTCAGTTACGGACAGCCCTAACAGTAAGGATGAGGTCAAGTATGCTTTTCTCTCTTGTTGGTTCCCTCGTCAACTGCTGCTGACCCAGTCGAGCACCTATGTACTTTAGGATCCAACCAGCTTGATCAGTAGTGCTGTTGCTGAGCCACTCTTTGTGATGGACAACTGAAATCCCCCATCCAGAGTACATTTTATGACCTTGCCACCCTGAGTGCTTCCTCCAAGTGTTGTTCAACATGCAAGAATACATATTCATCAGCCAAGGGAGGATGGTATGCGGTAGCCAGAATGAAGTTTCCTTGATCATGTTTAGCCTGAAGCCATGAGATTTCATGGGGTCCAGAGGCAATGTTGATTCCCAGGGCAACTCCCACCCAACTGTATACCACTGTGCTGCTACCAGGACTGGACATATCCAGGGCTGGTGATGATGCTGTCGGGGACATTGTCTGTAGGGTGTGATTCCATGAGTATGACTATGTCAGACTGTGCTTGACTAATCTGTGAGACAGCTCTCCCAGTCTCTAGATGTTAGTAAAGAGAACTTCACAGGGTCGAAAAGGCATGTTTTCTGCCGTTGACTTTTCCAGTGTCTGAGTTGAAGTCAGTGGTCCATCCAGTTTCATTTTTGTTGAGATGCTGCTTTCAATAAATGACCGGCAAATGGGTTAGGGCTGTTTAGGGAGAAAGTTAATAGTGTCATCATTCAGAACACAGACTACAAAGAAATAGTTGATCTCTAAAACAACCTTGTATGATTCTGAATCAACTACAAATTAATTAAATTTAACATGCTTTTCCATTGATAGTCACATTAAAATCTGGAATTCAAATGGGGGTATGAATTGGTGTTAAATGAGGATCTGGATTAATGTAATACTCCAGGAAACCTTCAAATTAAACCAACAGGAGTTCAGATTCTGGTGATAGCAGCGAAACTATTCTTTGTAACACCAATGGAATATTTTAAAGAGTAAGCCAGGAGCATCTCAGAGGATGATGTACACCTTGAATAATAGTGGGTGGAAAGGCAGTGGTCTGGGAAGGAGGAGACACTTTATATTGTTCAGGAAGAAATGAGGCCTGATTTTATGCCTTACACACAGAGCAGATGGTTAGCCTCTAATTTCAGCCTGGATGAAGAATCTTTGAATTGTACTATTTCAGTCATTCAATAGGATTCTCGGAAGACCCATATTGTTTCTTGTAAAGAACTGTTTGTATCACAGAAACAGCACATGAACTTACAACACTCTCAAAGAGTGATCCAAACAGATCCTCGTCTCTCACAGAAACATGCAGTTTTGACTATCTAATCCCATCCCTTTCCCTGACCAATTGCAACCTGGGTGATCAGCCCAAATTGGTCACCATCCCCCAATAATCACAGCCTCTAGTTTCCTCTTGGTACGGCAGTTAGTGCTAATTCCTCTCAGAGATGGTCTGCTTGTAAAAGAGAATTCTAAGACAAGTTGCCAGAAGAATGAAAATGTTTCCACTGAACAACGACTAAGATTTGCAAAGGAATAATCTTCTTGAGGCTTGAGGTGTGGAATCTGGACAAAAGGAAGCCATGTAGAGAAAACTCATTCTATATTATAAAAATGTTCACACCCAAGACAATAAGGATCTGCAATAGAAGCAGATTCTCAAAGGTCATATCGATGATAAGATTAGAACATTTCTACATACATTGCTAGATGAATGAACTGAAAGAACAGACAATGTGGGACATTACTTGTGCAGTACTTCACCATCTGCCGTTATCAGGGGAACAGCTTTGGTGATAGTTAAATCAAGTGTTCTGTTGATCCTATCATGCACAGAATGTAGATTTCCACTGTCACAGCCAGTTTGGAGTTCTTGATTTGCTTGATCCAGTGTTTATTTTGCACAGCATCTCCCTGTTTTTCAGCTGATGCAGTGTTCTAGCTGCTATGTTTTGCATCAAGTTGGCTTTGCCTTTTCCTTCAAAGACAGATATCACCTCTGATGAGCAGGTTTCAGACTAGTTCTTTTGTGTATTCTTCCTTTAGCAAATGTTGCTGCTGCATCATAAATGATTGAACTCAGTGACTCCCAAACTTCAGCAATATCAATGTTGATTAATACAGCTTTTATTTATGTGCCTGTAAAATATATCTCAATACTGTTCCTCGATCATTTAATTCCATAATCCAGGTGTCACTATTTATAATGTCCAATCAGTAAGAATTGTCAGCAAGGTCTAATCAGCACTTTCTATTTGGAGATGGGAATCAGTGAAACCTTTCAGAAACTGAATTGTAGATTTTGCACCAAGATCAATTTAGGATTGAAGTAAATGTTCATAATCTCATTATAAATTAGCCTCCCATTGAGAATTTTCCATTACTTTTGAAAATGCTGGTCTCCGTAATGGTGGTCAGAGACTATTGCTGATTGTTTTCAAAATCCATATGGTTCACCACTATCCTTTTAGGGAAGGAAATCTACCATCCTTCCCCAGTTTGGCCTACATGTAAATCAAGACCACCAATGTGGTTCGCTCTTAGCTGTCCTCTGAAATGGCCTACCAAACCACTCAAAGAAAAATCAGGGATGGACAACAAATTTTTAAAGTATTGTCCAAATGAAGCAAGCATATAGTTATGGTCTGGAATGCATTGCCTAGAAATGTGGTGAAGACAGGTTCAACTGAGGCAATCATGAGGGTACTGGATGATTATTTCGGATAGAAATGGAGTGCAGGGGTATGGGGGAAAGGCAGGAGATTGGCACTAGATAATAGAACCAGTGCAGGCATGAAGGGCAGAATAGCCTCCTTCTGAACCGTAAGAATCCTAAAGATTCTGTGACAAATGATTTAAAGAAGAAAAAGTTCAGGGAAAAAAAACACAGATGGTGCTTTTAAGAAAGGACACCACAGCTCTGAACCTGTGACATATGCAGAATATTAAACTCTGTAACTGCCTTGAGTTTGTTAACTTTAGCAGAAATAAGAGTTTCTGAAAATTTGTCCATGGTATGTGGGAGCCATTCACTAGGCCTGGCATTTATGTCCATCCCGAATTGCCCTGGAGAATGTCGTGATACGCTGACTTTGTCAACTGCTGCAGTCCTTTAGGTGTAGCAACAGGTGCAATCCTGTTAGGGAGGGAGTTCCAGGATTTTGACCCAGTGACAGTGAATGACGATATGTTTCACAGTTAAGATGGTGTTAGGCTCAGAGTGGAACTTGCAGGTGGCCATGCTCACGACATGTGACATCCATGTTCTTTTACGTCGATGGTGGATATGATGCCAATCAAGCAGGTTATTTCATCCCTATGGTATCAGACTTCTTAAGTCTCAGGTATTGTTGGAATGGCACTAACCCAGTCAAGGGAACAGCATTCCAACACACTCCTGACTTGTGCCTTGTAGATGGTGGACAGGGTTTGGGGAGTGAGGAAGTGAGTAAATTGCTTCAGGATTCCTCGCCGCTGATCTGCTGTTGTAGCTACAGTATTTATATGGCTTGTCCAATTCCGTTTCTGGTCAAACGCATCCAGCAGGATTTTGATAGTGGGGGATTCAGGGATTGTAAAGCAATTGAATGGCAAGAGGAGATGGTTGGATTCTGTATCATTGGAGATGGTCATTGCCTGCCACTTATTGACCCAAGCCTAGATACTGTCCAAGTCTTGCTTCTTAAGGACCTGGACTGCTTCAGTATATGGGAATTTGTAAATAGTGCTGAATATTGTGCAATCTTCAGTGAACAACCTGACCTTTATGATGAAGTACTGAAGATGTTTGGGCATAAGACTACCCTGAGGAGCCTCTGCAGTGATGTCATGGGAATGAGATGATTGACCTCTGAGAACCACAACCACCTTCTTTAGTATTAGGTATAACTCCACTGGTGGACTGAAATCCACCAGATCCTTCCAGTTTTACTCAGGCTCCTTGATGTAAAGGACGTTGTCAGACGGTGCACCTCCGACTTAAGTGACAGCAGCAATTACAAAAGAATCAAACCACTGCAGTCACTTATGAACTCGCTGATGTGTCAGCAGATGGGATGACCGAGTGAATCTCTTCCCACACACGGAGCAGCTGAACGGTCTCTCCCCAGTATGCACTCTCTGGTGTGCTTTGAGGTCAGATGATTGTCTAAAACTCTTCCCACATGAAGTGCAGCCGAACGGTCTCTCCTCAGTGTGAACTCGCTGGTGTCTCAGCAGGGTGGATGACTGAGTGAATCCCTTTCCACACATGGAGCAAGTGAACGGCCTCTCCCCAGTGTGAACCCGCTGGTGTGCGTCGAGCTCGGATAACTGTCTGAATCTCTTTCCACAGTAGGTGCAACCGAATGGCTTCTCCTCGCTGTGAATTCGCTGGTGTGTACAAAGGCCTGAGGACTGGGCGAATCTCTTCCCACACACTGAGCAGGTGAAAGGCCTATCCCCAGAGTGAAGCTGTTGATGTCTTAGCAGGGTGGAGGCACTCCGGAAAGTCATTCCACAGTGAGTGCAGCTGAACGGCCTCTCCTCAGTGTGTGTTCGCTGGTGTAACATGAGTTTGGTTGTATCAGTGAATCCCTTCCCACACACAGAACAGGTGAACGGCTTCTCCCCAGTGTGACTGCGTCGATGGATTTCCAGCCGGGATGGGTAATTGAATCCTTTACCACAGTCCTCACATTTCCATGGTTTCTCCATAGCATGTGTCTGTGTATCTCCGTATCTACACGTGGGAGATGTGAATAATCTCTCCCTGCTGCGAACGATATAATACTTTTTTTCAATTTCTGTAATTAGTTAAACTTCTTTGCACAGTCAGTTGACTGGGACACTTGCACTCAGGCTATGTGTCTTGTTCAAGCTCTTTCCACTATCAAGTCACTGGAACACTTTCTTTCAGGTGCCCATGTGTGTGTTGAATATCTGGGTGCTTTTCCAGTAACACTGATATGTGAAATCTTTTCCCACAGTCACAAAGAATATTTCTCTTTCCACAGTCAAATGCTGATGATATTCAGGACTAGGTGATTCAAGTGAATCTGTCAGACCTCAGCATGATGTTTGATTCCGTATTCCTATCTGTAAATTCTCCCTTATTGTTGTCCTCTGTAGGAAGATTACAAGAGTTATCACGTATTACTGTGGGATATAGATTGAAAATAAACAGTTATAGTCTGTGCCCAAACTCTCCAGTTGAATCTCATTTCTTCCAAAATGTGGATTCCAAAACTGCACGCAGTGCTCTAACTTTGGCCTTACCAACCGTTTATACGGTTTCAGCACAACCTCCCTGTTCATGAACTCTATGCCTCAGTTAATAAAGGCAAGTATCCCATATGCCTTCTTAACCACTTTATCCACCTGCCATGCTGCATTTAAAGGCTGGTGGACATGTGCATCCCAAAGTCCGACCATTCATCATATATTCACGTGCCTTGTTTCTCCTGCCCAAATGCATTACCTCACACTTATCTGGATTGAATTCCATTTGCCAATTTTCAGCCCATCTGATCAGCACATCCAGAAACCCTACAGTGTGGAAACAGGCCATTCAACCCAACAAGTCCACACTGCCCTTCCAAAGAGCATCCCATTCCCCCTACCTTTCCCTATAACCCTGCATCCCCCAAGTCTAATCTACCTAATGTACACACCCCTGGACACTATAGGCAATTTAGCACGGCCAGTCCACCTAACCAGCACATCTTTGGACTGTGTGCAAACTCCACACAGTCGCCCAAGGGTGGAATCGAACCTGGGTCACTGGTGCTGTAAGGCAGCGTGCCGTTTGTATTTTCTCCCCATGTCTGCATGAGTTTCCTCTAGGTGCTCTGATCTCCGCCCATAGTCCAAAGATGTGCAGGTCAGGTGGATTGGCCATGTTTAATTGCCCCATAGTATCCAGAAATGTGCGAGCTAAGTGGATTAACCATGGGAACAGCAGGGTTACAGGGACTGTCGGGGGTGCGGGGGAGGGGTCTGAGTGAGATGTTCTTCGGAACATGGATTCGAGCAGCCTAATGGTCTGCTTTTACACTGTATGGATTCTATTCTATGAATCCTCCTGTAATCTAAGACTGTCATCAATATTTACTATCCCATCAATTTTCATAACTCCCGTGAGTTTAATAATCAAATGTCCTACATTCAAGCCTAAATCATTTATATTATCTGAACACAAATAATTGACAGTGCTGGCTGGGGGTTGGGGGAGGAGAAGCCAAGGCAAGGGGATTGGATGAGTTGCTCTTACAGAAAGCAGGCACAATCAAGGGCTGAATGAAACACAAAATTATTAAAGTGCGGAAGCAGGCCATTCAGCCCGTTGTGTCTAAGTCTGCTATCCCAATAAACATTTCATATATTCTTCTGTCTGTTTCCTGTAAATCTCCATATTCTGATAACATCCTAACTCTCTCGGTATCAGGGCCTGATCGCATCCTGATCCGACTTCACGATCTGCCCGACAGAGTGCTTGCGCATGCGCTGTACCAGACATCGCCCCTTATAGAGATGGCGTTCGCGCATGTACCCTGCTGCACTCTGCCCCTTACAAAGATGGCGATCGCTAACACGGTACATTCATGAGAGAAGACCGCCAAAGCTCAAACTGCTGCTCGCTTGAGGCAAACCTGAATCAGTGGCTTCTTATTCGACGCTGGCTTACATAGAATTTTAATGCAGCACGTAACCGACTCACCCAGTAAATGTTTAAAATTCTGCGAATTTAGTTACGGATAATTCTCTGTCTCGCATCATCCACAGACCTACGCATGCTCAGTTCATGTTAGCTAATTGTTTGGCGAAGGCTCCGGACCAATGGGAAAGGGGATAGGGCCGAGGACCCAACGAGAGCTGCTGGCCCTCCAGCCAATCGTAGTGAAAGAGGGGCGGGACTAAGATCGGTTATCCTTCATTGGTAGAAACTCTGCTTTATTTGGAAAGTTGATTTGTGTCAAACGCCAGGAGAAAACAACTTTTCTGTTTGTGGCTTTAAATACTGTAGACGGAACTCTTCTAGGGCTGGAGCAGACGTTTCAAGTTTTAGTAAAGATTTGTAGCTCGGGTTGTGAGTGAGGTTGTTGACTTGCTCACCGAGCTGGATTGTTTCCAGTTAGACGTTTTGTCACCGTGCTAGGAAGCATCATCAGTGAGGCCTCCGATGAAGCGATGTTGTTCTACTCCGCTTGGAATTTATACTGTCCCGTCCGTTATGGTGAGTAATGTCATTTCCAGTTTTGTTCTGTATGGTCCATCAGCAATGACAACATGCTCAAAGTACTCGACCTGTGCCTCACCACACACTTCGTCTTTAATGGTCAAGTATACAAACAGATCAGTGACACACCCATGGGGTCACCCATCTCAGGACTCATTGCAGAGAGGGTCATGCAAAGACTGGAACACACCTCCCTCCCCTGCATTCAACCTAAACTGTGGATCTGGTACGTAGATGACATATTTGTCATTATTAAATGCAACAAACTAAAAAGGACCCACCATTTCATCAACAATGTATTTGTGGGGATTAGATTCACGACAGAACAAGAAAACAATCAACTTCTGTTTGTGGATGTCAGAGTTGAACATAGTTCCAAGCCTCCATATACAAGAAAGCAACCCACACTGACCAAATCCTCAACTTCCACAGCAACCACCCCAACATCCACAAACAAAGCTGCATTAGGACACTATTTAAATTGGCCACCACTCCAGAACTATGCAGGAAAGAGGAAGAGCACCTGTACAAAATTGTCACTATGAATGGATATCCCCGCAACTTCATCTGCAGGTGCCTACTAAATAGACAACAACAAGACGACACAGTGCCCTAAGACACTGGCCACACTGCCCTATATCAAGAACACATCAGAATTGACAACAAAACTCCTAAGACCACTCGGAATCATGGTAGCACACAAGCCCACAGCCACTCTATGACAAAAACTTACAAGGATTAAAGACCCCATTCCCACAACACGCAGAACCAACATAGTTTACAAAATACCATGCAACAACTGCCACAAACGTTATATCGGACACACAGGAAGGAAACTAGCCATCAGAATATATGAACATCAGCAAGCAGCAAAACGACAAGATGAACTTTCCTTAATATCAGTACACTCGGACAACGAAGGGCAACATAACTATAGTAGCCCAAGCCAAACATAGACATGCATTGGAATTACTAGAGGTGCGCTTCTCAACCCATAATGCAATCAACAAACATACAGAATTGGATCCCATATATAAACCCATACACAACAAAACCAGAAATGACGAGACAGACGGTATAAATTCCAAGTGGAGTGGAATAACATCGCTTCATCGGAGGCCTCACTGATGATGCTACGTAGCATGGTGATGAAACGTCTGAACGAAAGCAAGCCAGCTCGGTGAGCAAATCAACAATCTCACTGGAGCAAACATTTCCATGTTTGTTCTGAAATGGGGGAGCATGTTGAGACAATGTGCAAATAAGTCAAGGTCTGATTTAAGAGAATAAAAACCGAAGGAATTGCGGATGCTGTAAATCAGGAACAAAAACAGAAGTTGCTGGAAAAGCTTAGCAGGTCTGGCAGCATCTGTGAAGAAAAAGTCAGAGTTAATGTTTTGGGTCCAGTGACCCTTCCTCAGAACTGATTTAAGAGAATAACTGAGCAGAAGAGGAATGTCAACTTTAGAACAAGGCAAGTCCCAGGTTTCAATGGATGAAATGGCATAAGGGCTAGGACAGGTCATGGAGACGGTTAATACTGGCACCATTCAGGAAAGAGAAAAGCTCTGAGAATTGTCAAAATTCTGCAAGGAATGTACAGTCATTTGTATGTAGTAAAAGACGATTTTTTGAATAAATGAAGTACATTTTTGAAATAAAAAAGCAACACAGACTATAAAGGAACAACTAATCTCAAAGATAAACTGTTGCAGCATGTGTGGAGGGAATGTGCTGAATTGGGTTCAAATGGATTAAGCAATATATGTGCTTTCTCTATTGGACATTCGGATTGAAATCTGGAACTTGGATGGGAATATCAGTTGGTGTTAGAAGGGAAGATCTGGATCAGTGTGTTATTACAGGAAGCCATAAAATTGGACTGACAGTCTTTCCAAACTGATTCTTGTGATAGCAGCAATTCCATGTTGTTAGTCAGACTGATGGAATTATTAAAGATGGAGACCCTTGGCATATTTAAGGATGATGTATAAAGGTAATCTATGAATTACCTGAGAATAGTAATAAGGGGAAAGCAAGGGATCTGGAAAACAGCAGACTTTTCGTGTTATTCCGGGAGAAATGGGGTCTGGTTGTGCAGATGTCAATTTTTTTACACAGCACACTGTCAGCCTGGGGTTTCACCCTGGATGAACAATTTCCTAAATTTATCATACAAATCACTTAATGGAATTTTCAGACAATAAACATAATGTGATCAGAGAGAGGAAGGTTTGTTGGTTATAGCAAATAAGAAGAAGCACACACACACATACCCACAGATACTCCTGCACAAGCAGACTGACAAACACACTGGCATCACCACTGCACTCTGCCTCCCACAACAGCCAACACATACACACTATTATGTACACACCAGGAGGCAAAACTTCTTGTCCAGTTGGGTGGACATGAGCAATCACTCCAACTAACACTGGAGATAAAGTGTCAGTGTCAGTATAAACAGCAGTGTTAGAGAAATTCAAGTAAACATTACAATTGACTCCTTTGTACAATGAAATCTGTTTACCTCAATCCTATGTAAATTCAATGATCAATCTCCACTGCTCTCTGAGAATCCAAAGACTAATAACTATCCAAAATAAATAATGAATCCCTCCTCATCTCAGTCTTAAATGCAAAACTCTTTACTTTTAAACAGTGGCCAGCAGTCCTAGATTCCCCGAGAAGAAATATTGTCTCAGCGTGCACTCTGTTAAGCTCTCCAGTATCTTATACAGTTCAGTAAGATCACTTCTCATTCTCCTAAACTCCAACTTGCACAACTTTTCCTCAGAAGACAACCTGTTCATTAGAGGAATCACCTGAGTCAGTCTTCTGTGAACTGATTTTAATGCAAGTATAAACTTCTCTAGCAAGCAAAACTGTGAACAGTAGTCCTGAGATAGTAGGAACTGCAGATGCTGGAGAATCTGAGATAACAAGGTGTAGAGCTGGATGGGTCTAGGCCCAAAACATCAGCTTTCCTGCTCCTCTGATGCTGCTTGACCTGCTGTGTTCATCCAGCTCTACACCTTGCTATAACAGTAGTCCTGATGCAGCTTCACCAGGATCTTTTGTGGTTTTAGCAATACTTCCTTATTATTATACGGTATCCCCTTTGCAATAAAGACAAAAATTCAATTTGTCTTCTGAATTTCATGATGTACCAGCATGCTAACTCTTTGTGATTCACATATAGGGACACTCAGATCTCTCTGCACTGCAGCATTCCATCTCCATTTCAATATACTGTGCTTTTTGTTCCCTCCTACCAAAATGGATAAATTCACACTACCCCACATTACAATCCACCTATCAAAGTTTCTTTTTCCATTCATGTAACTTTTCTGCATCTCTTTACAGACTCTTTATAGCTTCACAAATTGCTTTCCTACTTATTATTGTATCAGCAGTAAGGTCACGACACTACACTTGGTGACTTCATCCAAGTTGTTAATATCAATTTCTGTTTTGGTCTCCCTCAATTGTGGATGATATTTGTCTCTGTTCTACTGGAACCTGAGATCATATTGTTCCAAATAGCATTCAGTGTCAGACAGTACAGGGAGTAGGGCATCATTCATTCCTAGACCTACACTGACAGGTAAAACCCCAGACAGCTCTATGATAAGAATTAATTCTGTAGAAGGTAACTGAACTCAAAATATTGTTTTCTTTCCACAAATGCTGCTGGACTTGCTGAGTTTCTCCAGCTATTTCTATTTTTGTGTTTGCTTGTTAGTAAGGATTTCTGTAGTTCCTGACCAGATTCCAGCCAGGACGCTAAAACCCAACTTTCTTAGAGTCCACTCCTGGAGGTCTCTCTCTTTGAGTTTACAACCTTCAGCAGGGTCAGTAGTGGAGTTACATGTTGGGAGTAATCTTGGAGTAACGTCAGGATATGACCCTTGTGGATGTTCCCATTTATGTATTATTGGTTAGCCTGGTATCTCCCACACAAATTCCTCTTTATTTGAAGACTATATATCTATTGTATAACTCACTGAGGAAAGGAACTGGAAGTATGCTGGAGGCAGGTTCAATAGAGGCATTCATGAAGACATTGGATGATTATTTAAATAGAAACAACATGCATGGTATGGAGGAAAAGCAGGAGATTGGCATCAAGTCAAAATGCTTCATTGACTTCATTCAGCACTGTAACAACATTGTGATTCTGTGAAACGTCCCAGATATTTACAGGCTCCAATGAAATTAGTTAAGATCTGCCTTATAATAGTGGTTACAGAACAATATCACTTTTAGACTGGAAATATAACTCTGCAGTATTACTTTCACTCAGGGACAGATCACAGTTGAACACAAATCTCTGATTTGACAATGTGTTTCCAGCATTCCTTGTTGTTCTTTATGATTGCAAGTAGAGTTGTAAAGCAACTATGACTGATGGCAGAGAGCAGCTGGGAAATATTTCTTACACGCCTCAGAATTAACCCACATGGGGACTTTGCTATCAGCAAAGAGAGATGAGAAAGCCTAAGTGCGGTTTGGCTGTCTCCATGAGATCCTGAAATACTGTGTCTGGGCTGAAGTTTGGTTTCTGCCAGACAATCCTCTCCCCCTAAGACTGTCCTTTCGGAACTCCAACTCGGTGGCATTCAACACTCAGGTGAGAAAAACAAAAAGCAACAACAATGAGTTTCAAACCAATCTTTTTTCTTTGCATTTATTCAGAATATTGAACACCAGCTCAATTAGCAAGATTATTAACATGATCAGGAAAAATGTCCAACTATCAGAGTAAAATTATCAGAAAGTTACAGTAGAAACAGAGGCTACTCAGCCCAAGGTGTATCCTGACTGGCTAAAATAGAGCGATCCACACTAATCTCTTTTTGTAGATCTTCACCTGTAGCCCTGAATCATCTGACATTTGAAGTGCAGATCCAAGTCTTTTTTTTTTAAATACAATAAGGTTTTCCTGCCTCTACAACCCTATCAGACATAGAGTTCCAAATCCTGCCACCCTGACTGAAAAGCTTTCTCTACTCCCATTCCAGGTTTTCCACCTTTGATGCAGAGAACAGATAATAGATGCAGGGAAGTTGTTTCTACTGGCAGGTCAAACTAGAACTAGGGGACATAGCCTCAAAATAATACAGAGCAGATTTAGGCCAACATCACATTTAGACTGGAAATATAATTCTGCAGTATTTCACTCAAGAACAGATCAGTTTAACATCAATTTCTAATTTGACAACATGTTTCCAGCATTCCTTGTTGTTTTCCCTGATTCCAAGTAGAGTTGTAAAGCAACAATGAATGATGGCAGAGAGCGGCTGGGAAATATTTCTTACACACCTCAGGATTAACCTACACGGGGACTTTGCTATTTGCGAAAAGAGATGAGAAAGTCTAAGTACAGTTGAGGAACTTCTTCTCCCAAAGGGAAGTGTATCTGTGGAACTCTCTGCCCAGTGAAGCAGTTGAGGCTATCTCGTTGAATGTTTTTAAGGCATAGATTTTTGAACAGTAAGGGAATTAAGGGTTATGGTGAGCAGGCAGGTAGATGGAGCTGAGTCCACGAACAGATCAGCCATGATCTTATTGAATGGCAAAGCAGGTTTGAGGGACCAGATGGCCTACTCCTATTTCTTACTTTCTGCCAGTTACTGTAAATCTCAGCCCCTTGGTCATTGGACTGTTAACATAAACAGGTCTTTCCTATCCACTCTGTCAGGCTCTGTCATAACTGTATGTACCTCAATTAAAATTTCTCTCAGTCTCCTCTTTTTGAAAGAAAACGATCAGAATCTATCTAATTTTTCATCTTAGTGAAAATTATCCATTCCTGGAAACGTCCTCATTAATCTCCTTTGTACACTCTCCTCAGAAATCTCATCTATCTTGTAATGGGCAGGCCAGAACTGTATGCAACACAATCTGGGGTATAACCAATGTTCATAATAGCTCTGGCAGAACCTCCCTGATCTTGTGATTACCCTGAACACAAGATCTAGACATGGAACTGTAGAATCATAGAATCCTTACAATGTGGAAGCAGGCCAATTGGGGCCTATCGAGTCTACACTGACCATCAAAAGAGCATCCCATCCAGATCTACCTCATCCCGGTAACCCTACATTTCCCATGGCTAATCCACCTAGAGTGCACATGCCTGGACACAATGGGCAATTTAGCATGGCCAATCCACCTAACCTGCACATCTCTGGACTGTGGGAGGAAACCCATCAGACACAGGAGAGCATGCAAAGTCTACACAGATAGTCACCCTAGCACTGCTGCCTCACAGCTCCAGCATAATTACTGAGCCACCATGCCACCCAATTGTCATTTGGGGGAAAAAGTTGGAGTCTATTAGAAAGATGTAATTAAATAGAGCTTCATGAAGGGGAAATTATGTCTAACACATTTATCACAATTACTTGTGGAGGTTACAAGCAGGAGAGGGGAACAGGTAGAAGTAAAATATTTGGATTTCCAAAAGTCATTCAATAAAATACCACACTTTAGACTGCTTAATAAGATGAGAGCCCATGGTCTTGGGGTTAGTAAATTAGCATGGAGACAGGATTGGCTAGCTAATGTAAGACAGACTTGGGATAAGGGGGAGGGGTTTCAGAATAACCATCTACAATTAGTAGAGTATCACAGGGATCAGAGCTGAGGCCACAAATATTTAAAATTTACATAAGTGACTTCGATAAGGAAAGTGAATATAATATAGCCAAGTTTGCTGATGTCACAAAAATAGGTGAGAAGGCAAGTGGTGAGGATAGCAGAAAGAAAATATAGATAGATTACCTGAGCACACAAAAACTTGGCAGACGGGATATAATGTTTGGTTATTCATATCACAGAGGAGCTGAATATTATTTAAATGGGAATGACTGCAGAAAGTGCAGCACAGAGGAGGCTCCTCAAGTAGAAATTACAAAAAGCTAGCATACAAGTTCAGCAAGCAATAGGGAAGGCAAATGGAATGTTGGCTGTTACTTCAAAGGGGTATGGAGTGTAACAGTAGGAAGGTTTTACTAAAGCTATGTAAGGTACTCTCTGACCACAGCAGGAATATGATGAACAGCTTTGTGCCCCTAATCTGAGGAAATAGATATTGATATTGACACTGGATGCACTCCAGAAAAGGTTCCTAAATTGATCCCAGGTATGGAGGGACTGTTTTACGAGAAATTGAGTAGCTTGGGTCTATACTTGTTGGAGTTCTGAAAAATGAGAGACAACCTTATTGAAACAGCTTTTTAAAGGGCTTGACAATGGTGGAAGCGGGAGACCCTAGGACAAGAGGGCATAATCTCAGAATAAGAGGTTCACCCAGTTAGGAGAGAGATGAGGAAGAATTTCCTCTTGAAGGTAGCAAATCTGCAGAATTCTTTACTGCAGAGGGCTGTAGAAGCTGGGTCGTTATGTATATTAAAAGCTGAGACAGACAGATTTCTAATCAGTAAGGGAATCAAGGGTAATGGGGAAAAGGCAGGAAAATGGAGTTAAGGATCATCAGGTCGACCATGATCTTCTTAAATAGTGCAGCAGACACAATGGGCTGAATAGCCTATTTCTGCCCCTGTGTCTTATGGTCTAACTGGATGTTCACTCCATGTGACTGAGATATCCTGCTGTGTCCTTATTCATTCAATTATAAACTATATTAACCAAAATACACATAGACAGCATGGAAACAGACCCTTTGGACCAATTAGTCCACTTTAACCATGTTCCCAAACTAAACTAGTCCAACCTGTCTACATTTGTTCAATATCCCTCCAACCTTTCCAAATGTCTTTTAAATGCAACTGTACCTTCATCCACATTTCCTCTAACAATTCAGTGTACGTACTAACCACTGTGTAAAAAAAGTTGCCTCTCATGTGCTTTTTAAAATCTTTCTCCTCTCATCTTAAAAATATGGCCCCTAGTTTTGAAATTCCCTACCTTAGGGAAAAGATTTTTGCTATTCACCTTATCTCTGCCCCTCATGATTTTATAAGCCTCTATAAAGATCACATTTCAACCTTCTACACTCCAGTGAAATAAGTCCCAATCTATCCAGTCTATTTTTATAACTCAAACCCTCCATTCTGGGCAACATCCTGATTTATCTTTTCTGAACCCTCTCCAGTTTAATCATATCCTTTTAACATATATGAAGGTTCATCAGATACTCACTGATCAGCTTCTTCCATTGTGCTGAAGTCACTATAGTTTATCAGTAATTAAGCAATAATTTTCTGAACTCATTATCTAAACATCTCAAATAATAAGTTACTGAAAAATTCAGTCTTCTTTACCTAAACTATCCCTTGCTTACTAGTTTTATCTTTATCTGCTACATTTGAGTAAACCCTACCGTAATTATCTGATAAATAGCAAAAATTGAAGTCAATTTGATAATTAATTAAGTCTAGTCTCACTTTATAATTAATGACTTATTGGGACTCTCAGTGGGCTCACTCAAAAAGGAGACCGTTCAAAAGATTATTTCAATTAACTAATGAAACTGATTAATGCAGAAACCAGAACAAGTGCTCTAACTCGAGTTGTGCTCTAAATAGTGGCTTCTAAGGTTTAGCACCATTTTCCTTCTTTTTTTATATTTTAGCCCTTGACAAAGAAAGGATCCCAAATGCCTCTTGAACACCCGTTTCCCCATCCACCTGTTTTCAGGCACCTGTGGAAACCATTGCAAGGCCTCTTTATTCCTCAACACTTCTTCGTATCCTGCCATTTATTGTCCATCCCATTGTCTTGTTTGTCCTCCCCAAATTCATTTCCTCAACACAGATTGATTCCAATTCACTACTTTCCTCTGCAATAATCTATTGCCCTGTTTCTGCAATTCTTCCTCATTTGATGATCAACTTTTGTTGTAGCCTCAAACTTTTTAATTTTGACTGCTATATTTGGGTCTAATCATTGTTAGGTGCAACAAACAGGATGCCCACAGTAAACAGGCAACCAAAGCTGGTTCAGTCTTGGATGTGATTAACAGTGGAATACAACCCCTGCTGCCGCATGTGAACTTGCTGGTGTCTCAACAGGTTGTTTGACTGAGCAAATCCTTTCCCACACAAGGGACAGTTGAATGGCCTCTCCCCAGTGTGAACCCGCTGGTGTGTCAGCAGATTTTGTTTACTTTTAAATCTTTTCTCACAGTAAGGACATTTAAAAGGTCTCATATCAGTGTGAACAAGTTGGTGTGTAGTGAGGTGAGATGACTGAGTGAATCTCTTGTCACACAGCGAGCAGCTGTAGGGTCTCTCCCCGGTGTGAACTCGCTGGTGAATCAGAAGGTCAGATGAATCAACAAATTCCTGCCCACACTCAGTGCAGGTGAACGGTCTTTCCCCAGTGTGAACTCGATGGTGTCTCAGCAGATGTGATAAACGAGTGAATCCCTTTCCACAGACAGAGCATGTGAATGGCCTCTCCCCCGTGTGAGTGTGTTTGTGTTTCAAAAGATCCTTTGTGGTTTTAAATTTCTTTTCACAATCAGAACAATTAAAAGGTCTCTGATCAGTGTGAACAAATTGATGTGTCAGAAGGTGGGATGAACAAGTGAATCCCTTCCCACATGTAGAGCAGATGAACGGCCTCTCCCCAGTCAGAGTCCGTTGGTGGTTCAGTAAATCCTTTTTACTTTTAAAGCTCTTCTCACAGTCAGAACATTCAAAAGGTCTCTTATCAGAGTGAACAAGTTGGTGTGTCAGGAGGTGGGATGACTGAGTAAATTTCTTCCCACACAGGGAGCAGGTAAATGGTCTCTCACCAGTGTGAGTGCGTTGATGTGTCACTATATCCTTTCTACTTTTAAAGCTCTTCTCGCAGTCAGAACATTTGAATGGTCTCTTATCAGAGTGAGCCCGCTGGTGAGTTCGGAGATTGGATAAAGCATTAAATCCTTTCCCACATTCAAGGCAGGTGAATGGCCTTTCCCCAGTGTGAACTCGCTGGTGTGTATAGAGGCTAGATGACTGAGTGAATCCCTTCCCACACACAGAACAGGTGAACGGCCGCTCTCCAGTGTGACTGCGTCGATGTGTTTCCAGCTCAGAGGGGTAATTGAACCCCTTCCCACAGTCCCCACATTTCCACGGTTTCTCCATGGTGTGGGTGTCTTTGTGTCTCCCCGATCTGGATGATCATTTGAAGCTGCATCCACACACAAGTGTATGGTTTCCACCCACCATGACTGTTGTGACGTATTGGGCAGATCATACAACCGGTTACCACTGTTTCCACAGTCAATGCACTGGAACACTCTCATTCAGGTAACTCTGTTTCAGTCCTTTTCCAGTCTCACTAATCTATGAACTTTTTTTTCCTCCCCAGAAACAGAAGAGACAAACGTTTCTTCTTGCACATTCAAATGTTCATGTTCCAATTAACTAAATGTTTCTGTCAGATCTTGATATTTGGTTTGAATTTCCTATCTGCAAATCCAGTGCTCTGAATACCCTGTAAAAGGAGTTGAAATATTTAGAATATGCGACAAACAAATTGGCTGTTAGATGCAACTATAATGCAGGTATTTACATACCTCATGCTTCCCAACCCATTCACCGCATCTCACCTCAAACTTTCAGCTTATCTTTCTAATCCCTTTTCTCTCATGCATACATCTAATTTCTTGATTAAAAAAACAAATTCTCCTTCTGCCACAACTATGTCCTATGAACTCCACAATCTAACCACCAAGTAAAGACATTAAGTCAAAACATTCTCTCTATCCCCACCTTGCCCAAACCATTCATCATTTTGAAGATCTTGATCTGCTCACTGCTCTTCCTTTTTCTCAAGAAAGATACCACAATCTGTACGCAGTAGCTTTTTTTAGACCTGGGGGTTCAGGTACATAATTCTTTGAAGTTTGTTTCACATGTAGATAGAGTGGTTAAGAAGGCAATTAGCATGTTTGCCTTTATTGCTCAAATCTTTGAGTATAGGAGTTAAAATGTCATATTGATGTTGTACAGGACGTTGGTGAGGCCTCTTCTGGAGTACTGTGTCCATTTGTGGTTGCCCTGTTCTAGGAAGGATATTATTAAGCTGGAGAGGGTTCACTAAAGATTTACTGGGATGTTGTCTGGAGTGGAGGGCTTGAGTTATAAGGGTAGGCTTGAGTTATAAGGGTAGGCTTGGATAGGCTGGGACTTTTTTCACTGGAGCATAGGAGGTTTAAGGGGGACCTTATAGAGGTTTATAAAATCATGAGGGGCATAGATAAGGTGAATGGCAGGTGTCTTTCCCTAGGATTTCAAGGCTAGGGGATATATGATTAAGGTGAGAGAAGGAAGATTTAAAAAAGACATGAAGGGCAACATTTTTTTAAAAAGCAGAGAGTGATTCATGTGAGGAATGAACTTCCAGAGGAAGTGGTGGATTCAGGTATAATTACAAAATTTAAAAGATATTTAGAGAAGTACATAAACAGGAAATGTTTGGAGGGATACGGCCCAAGCGCAGGATTATGGTCAGTGTGGACTTGTTGGACCGAAGAGTCTGTTTCTGTGGTATATGACTCTATGACAAAAGCCCCATCTCTGTCAGTCCAGGATAGAAATTCTGAGGAACTAAATATGTCAATTGGTTTAAGTTTGCTGCATGCAAATTGTCTGCCCCAACCCCTGTAAAGGCATTTATAAAATATAGAATTTTCCTTAGCCTATGGATTACTCATCCAATGACATTACCATGCAACCACTGTCACCCCATCCCTCACCACACAGGACATTCAAAATTGCAACACCTCGCTGCCTGTTACCAAATACTTGATGTGATTAATTGTTTCATTCTTTGTTCAATTAATTTGATGACAAGATTTAAATTGAAAACCAATTTCTAGCTACTACTTTTGTTCAGATAGTGCGGATGAGAGGTGCAGTGGGGCACACATTAGATCCAGGGACTGAAATAAAACAACTTGGTTTGGGTTTGAACAATACCATGCATGTTACTGATATCTTCCCTTGATACCAAGGCTTTGATAGGTGCTTTTCATGGTATGGGGAGCTAGAACTTGTCAATGTGTGTTTCACTTCTCTTGTCTTAAATCTAGAATTAGAAATTAGAAAATGCACAAAAAAATTCAAAAACAGTCAGTAACAGAATATCAGATCAACTTCACTAATGTTAGAAAGCCTGCGAGTTTCAGTAGTTTAACAGATATCCCAATACATACAGGTCTAACTCTGAATTGTCCCAGGAATGGGGCATGTTGTGATGCTCCTGAGGAGTGCAATTTCTGCAGTGTCTGACCCTGAATTGCCCCATGGATGGGACAGGTTGTGATCATATGACGATAAGAAATAGGAACAGGAAAAGACCATTCAACCACCCCAAGCCTACTCCACCATTCATAGGATCATGGCTGATTTGACATTCCTCACGTCCTTTCCCCATAACCCCCGATTCCTCAACTGATCAAGAATCTATCTCAAACTTAAATATACACAAGGATTGCCTCAACAGCTCTCAATCCCAAAATGACACATAACTCGTTGAGAGAAGAAATTCCTCATCTCAGTCTTAAATTGGCACCTTTTTATTCTGAGACAATGCCCTCTGGTCCTCGACTCTCCTTTGAGGTGTGTGAGGGGTGCAGTTTGTTCAGTGTCTCATAATAAACTGTCCTGTAACAGAGTAGGAAGTGATTTTCTACAGCAGGTGAATGGCATCTCCCCAGTGTAAACATGCTGGCATACCACCAGGTGTTATGACAAAGTGAAACCCCTCCCACCAATAGGGTAGGCGTTGCGTGTTTCCTTGGCATGGTGGCGAGTGAGCTTGCAGTACAGATGGTGAACCAAATTGTTCCAGACATTCCCAAGACGCATAATGTCCCCTGCAGCAAGTGCTTGTGTCTTGTCAGTGCAAACCATGCATTGACGCCTTGTCCACACTTCCAGCACACGACAGGTCTCTCTACACCGTGATTAGAGTTTGTTTCGTCCATATTTAAGAGCAAATGATATTGAAATCTTGATTAATCCAATCTTGAAGTGATATTTAATTTGGCCTTAAGAATTTCATGGAAGATGTAACCACAAGCCCAGGATGTAAATTCAGAACAGACATGACTTGATTTTATGGCACATTTTGTTTTCTTTCCTCTCTTTCGGACAGAAAGGCCAGTTTAGCAGGCAATGCATGTTCCTGGCCGTTTGCAAGTCACCTAGGCCCAGGCAAGGTACCCTTGCGCAGTGTTATAAGTCATAAATCATGAAATAAACAGCATTTTTGGGAATAACAAGTTTTGGGGTAATGTGAGATGAATTAGAACATCAAGAGACCACAGCTGCTGCCAAACTTGAAAGGGTTCAGAAAAAACTTTACAAGAATATTGCTGGGATTGGAGGGTTTCTGCTATAGGGACAGGCTGAATAAGTTGGGGCTTTTTATCCCAGAGCATTGGATGGGTGACCTTGTAGAGTTATAAAATCATGAGGAACATGGATCGGGTGAATAGCCCAGGTACTTTTTCCCAGGGTAGGGGTGTCCAAAACTAGAGGTTTAAGGGGAGAAAGGAAAGACTTAAAAAAAAGGGATCTGAGGGGCAACTTTTTCCATGCAGAGGATGGTGCATGTATGGAACAAGCTGCCAGAGGAGGTGGAGGTAGCTGGTACAATTACAACATTTAAAAGGCATCTGGATGGGTACATGAATACGAAAGGTTTACAGGGATATGGGCCAAATGCTGTCAAATGGAACAAAATCAGTTTAAGATATCTGGTTGGCACAAACAAGTTAGACTGAAGGCTCTGTTTCCATGCTGTGTAACTCTTATAAATACAAGAGAGTCAAATGGATAACCACCTACGTGTTATTTCCAACAGTTACATTACACATCTTTCATTGATGTTGAAAAAGGGGAGGCGCTTATGAGAAACAGAGGAACAAAACGGAACATCACGTGACATCCAGAAATGATCAGAGGTGGGATAACAAGGTGTAGAGCTGGATGAACACAGCAGGCCAAGCAGCATCAGAGGAGCAGGAAGGCTGACGTTTCGGGCCCGAAACGTCAGCCTTC